GCTGTGGCGTCACAGCTCATAGCAACCTCCAACTCTTGGGCTTAAGTGATTCTCTTGCCTCAGCCTCCCAAGTAGCTGGGACTACAGGCGCCTGCCAAAACGCCCGGCTATTTTTTTGTTGCAGTTGTCATTGTTGTTCAGCAGGCTCGGGCCTGCCTGCCACCTTTGGTATATGTGGCTGGTGCCGTAACTACTGTGCTACAAGCACCAAGCCAATAGATAAGGATTTTTAAAAAGGGCAAACTCCTGGCTTGGCCCCTGTTGCTCGAGTGGCTGGGGCGCCAGCCACATACACTTAAGGTGGCAGATTCGAATCCAGCCCGGGCCTGCCAATCAACAATGATGGCTGCAACAAAAAAATAGCCAGGGGTTGTGGTGGGTGCCTGTGGTCCCAGGTACCTGGGAGGCGGAGGCAGGAGACTCGCTTGAGCCCAGGAGTTGGAGGTTGCTGTGAGCTGTAATGCTACGGCACTCTACCCAGGGGGACAGCTTGAGGCTCTGTCTCAAAAAGAAAAACACTAATCTTCAGGGGCTGGGTATGGTGGCTGAGGTGGGTGGATTGCCTGAGCTCACAGGTTCGAGACCAACCTGAATCAGGGCGAGGCCTCATCTTTAAAAATAGTCAGGTGTTGTGGCGGGTGTCTGCAGTCCCAGCTACTTGGGAGGCAGAGGCAAGAGAATTGCTTTAGCCTAAGAGTTTGAGGTTGCTGTGAGTTGTGACACCACAGCACTCTACCAAGGGCAACATAGTAAAACTGTCTCAATAAATAAATAAACAAAGCAAATCTTCAAAGTTTAGGAATACATATTCAAATACATAGTTTTTGGTGGAATGGTATGACGTATATGGTGTATTGACTATTGCCAAGTAACAAATTAACCCAAAATGTAACAGCTTAAAGCAATAATAAATAATTTTTTTTTTTTTTGAGACAGTGCCTCAAGCTGTCCCCCTGGGCAGAGTGCCGTGGCATTACAGCTCACAGCAACCTCCAACTCCTGGGCTCAAGCGAGTCTCCTGCCTCCGCCTCCCAAGCAGCTGGGACCACAGGCGCCCGCCACAACGCCCGGCTATTTTTTTTTTGGTTGCAGCCATCATTGTTGTTTGGCGGGTCCGGGCTGGGGATTCGAACCCACCACCTTAGGTGTACGTGGCTGGCGCCTTAGCCGGTTGAGCCATAGGCGCCAAGCCAAATAATTTTTACTCATAATTTCCATGGGTCAGAAATCTGAGGATGTCAGCCCTGCCAACAGCAGACAGCTCAGGGTAGAGCCAGGTGGGAAGCCTCTGGAAGTTGCCTGGGTTGGGTAGGAAGACTGTTCTCAGGCAGCCTTCTTAGGGCAGAACCCGGCTTTGATATCACTCTGCTGCCATCTAGTGGCGAGCACAGAACACTGTCTCTCCAACCGACACCTTAACTTGCTATTTATTTATTTACTTACTTATTTACTTATTTATTGTGAAACAGAGTTTTACTGTGTTGCCCTCGGTAGAGGGCTGTGGCGTCACAGCTCATAGCAACCTCCAACTCTTGGGCTTAAGCTATTCTCTTGACTCAGACTCCCAAGTAGCTGGGACTACAGGCACCTGCCACAACGCCCAGTTATTTTTAGGTTGTAGTTGTCATTGCTGTTTGGCAGGCCCAGGCCAGGTGTATGTGGCTAGCGCTGTAGCCCCTGAGCTACAGGCGCTGAGCCAATTCACATAGTTTAAAATTCATAAGAATGAACACGGTCTTTCTTTCCTTGTATACTCTCTGAGTTTATCTAAAATATTCTATGTTACCTGTTTCTTGTGTATCTTTCTAGGAAATTTTATGTATTTATTTACATATACAAAAAATAAACAACACACACACACATACAGCTATCTACTACCACCACCACCACTAAAATTACTTCCCCGAAACATACTTTCTCAGTACTAAAAAGATAATTTGTTCCTGAAATCAGCAAGTTCATTCAACCATTTTTTTTCTGAGATAGACTACGCTCTGTCATCTCAGCTAAAGTGCAGTAGCATCACCCTAGCGCACAGCAACCTCAAACTCCTGAGCTCAATCAATCCTCCTGCCTCAGCCTCCTGACTAGCTGGAACTATATTTAAAAAATTTTTTTTTTGGTGACAGTCTCACTTTGTCACCCTTGCTAGAGTGCCATGGTGTCATAGCTCACAGCAACCTCAAACTCTTGGGCTTAAGCAATTCTCTTGCCTCAGAACCAAGTAAATGGGACTACGAGCGCCCACCATAATGCCCAGCTATTTTTAGAGACGAGGTCTCACTCTGGCTCAGGCTGGTCTCGAACCTGTGAACTAAGGCAATCCTCCTGCCTCAGCCTCCCAGAGTGCTAGGATTACAGGCGTGAACTAACCGTGCCTGGCTTGCTTTGATTTTTTGAATGCTCCATTCATAGTACCAGAGCACCTCTCGAAGAGATTATTAGATTCGTTAGATTTGCACACTGTAAAAACTTCTTACCCAAAAGTCTGACTTGGAGGTGAAATGAGAACTTTTGTAACCAGACTAAGCTATTCTTGGAATAATTTTTGAAGGCATGAGAAGTCTGTTATCATAGGGGAGTTTTCTGCAAATGCAGAAAATGTGTAAGATATTACAGTAAAAAGTAACAATGTCACAAACCTTGGAATCTTGGGGAAAATGTGACCAGAATAAAAAATGACAGCCACTGTGAAAAGCTGTGTGACTACTGACAGAGTCCAGAAAGGTCACTGAGGGGAAAAGGTCATCTTTCACCCACACAGACACAAAAGGCTCAGGTAAGGAGAACATGGACTCTCCAAACATCCACAAACAAAATCAAGCAAGACAGAAAGATTTCATTTTTTAGAGACAGAGTTTTACGTTATTGCCCTCAGTAGAGTGCTGTGGCATCACAGCTCACAACAACCAAAGCTGTGTGACTACTGACAGAGTCCAGAAAGGTCACTGAGGGGAAAAGGTCATCTTTCACCCACACAGACACAAAAGGCTCAGGTAAGGAGAACATGGACTCTCCAAACATCCACAAACAAAATCAAGCAAGACAGAAAGATTTCATTTTTTAGAGACAGAGTTTTACGTTATTGCCCTCAGTAGAGTGCTGTGGCATCACAGCTCACAACAACCTCCAACACCTGGGCTTAGGTGATTCTCTTGCCTCAGCCTCCTGGGTTGCTGGGATTACAGGCACCCACAACAACGCCCGGCTATTTTTTATTGCAGTTTGGCCAGGGCTGGGTTTGAACCCACCACCCTCAGTATATGGGGCCAGGGTCCTACCCACTGCACCACAGGTGCCACCCCAAGACAGATTTTAAACCTCATCTTGCAAGGACCTCTATAACCCACAGAAGATGTTCTTCATGTAATAATCATGTAATGAACACATAACATCCACTGTGTGCCAGGCCATGTCCTAAGTATTGGAAACATAATATCTTTACAGAGAAGAAACTAGCCATCGGTATTAAAATCCATAGGAGTCCTTGATAAGAAGTGCAAAGGGTACGCCAAGGAACAGAAGAGATGTTGTGACAAATTGTTTTTTCTAAGAAGTAAAAATTCTCCAAATTGCTCCTTTTTTTTTTTTTTTTTTTTTTTGAGACGGAGCCTCAAGCTATCCCCCTGGGTAGAGTGCCATGGCATCACGCTCACAGCAACCTCCAACTCCTGGGCTCAAGCGAGTCTCCTGCCTCCGCCTCCCAAGTAGCTGGGACTACAGGCGCCCGCCACAATGCCTGGCCATTTTTGGGTTGCAGCCATCATTGTTGTTTGGCGGGCCCGGGCTGGGGATTCGAACCCGCCACCTTAGGTGTATGTGGCTGGCGCCTTAGCCGCTTGAGCCACAGGCGCCGAGCCCCAAATTGCTCTTAAAATGGATAAATTGGTTAATTCTCCAGAAGTTCTAATTAAGATGAGCAAAATAGGCTGGGCATGATGGCTCATGCCTGTAATTCTAGCACACAGGGAGGCCGAAGCAGGTGGATTGTCTGAGCTCACGAGTTCGAGAACAGCCTGAGTAAAAGCAAGACCCTGTCTCCACCAAAAAATAGAAAAAACAACTGAGGCATGCGGATTGCTTGAGCCCAAGT